AGCACTTTAGATGCCAAGAGCTAATCATGAAGCATCTTTCTTTGACTACAGTTGCATGGATTACTAACAATGATGGGATTTTCCACTCCAGGGAAGAGCCATGCTAAGTGTCCCCCCTAGTCTCTGCAGACCCCACTTCTCATGAAGTGTGGAGCAACTTTGGTACTTTTTGTTCTTCCAGGCAGCCTGGAGTGAGCAAAAACACCAGACAAGAATAACTTCTTTGCCCCATTAAGACTCAATCCCTACAGAAGGTTCTGTTCCTCATTTAAGGTTAACTTGTGATACTCCTTTTGTATCAGGAGTCACCAGTGATGACCCAGAGGAAGGCATTCAGTCACCCCAGCAGCTCAGTTTCACCTCTTAGAAGGAAGTGTTATATTGTAGGCCTTGAGGTTTTGTAGCCACTTACCTCAAATCTATCTTTTCACCCCTCCTCAGGGTTCTCATATAGTTTATGGCAAGGAACCACTTCTTCTTCTTTTCTTTTTTTTTAATTTTTTAAGCAGATATTCTCACTTACTTTGTGCTATAACCACGTGCTAATGTTAGGTTGTTCTGCTGATCATTTTGCAGATGAGATCTCACTTGTACAATCCAAAAGCTGGGTTTCATACTAGAGCTTGAAAAAAAACAATTTAGAAGTGGGACTGGCAGACATCTGGTTGCTTCCACATTCAGATCTCTGTGCTTCTATTACAAAATGTTAAGACCTCAAACAGAAACAGTGAGCCATTTTCACAGCCACATGACACACAGATTAATAGATAGGAATGTAGCAGAAGCACATAAATGCTTTCTAAACTTCTGCATAGAATTGATTCAGCCAGAATTGTATTATACCCACAGTTCCTTAACATCATTTGCCTCTGTTGTGCACGGGGCCTAGGAAAGAAGAGCAACAGTTGGTCTTGCTCTCAACCCCTGAGAAGCAATGGAGAGCCCACTTTCCCCCAGGGAGCAGGTGTAGCTGTCACTTCCCTGGCAGCCTCTCCCAGCTGAAGAGTTATTGCCCCAGCTGTTCGGCTGACAGCAGTCTCCACTGGCCATGGTCATTGTATGTGGATCTCACCTTCTAAAGGTTTCCTCCCAGGGGAGCTGACGTGAGGGCTGCTGAACTGCAGCATTACAGCTCTCTCTGCTAAGAGACCAGCTGACATTTACCTTTATGTGACCTCCGTGGGCTACAAACTGCACACTCAACCGCAGTTGCTCAACCATGCTGACATATAGAATTTCTAACTTTTGCTTTTCCTTACAGTGTAAAGAGCTTTAAAGACCACAGCTTTAAACCACAGAACTCTGAAAAACAAAAACAGGATGTCTGCATCTAAAGCTGGTGCTGTGTGCATTTTTCCTGAGGCTATGCTATCTGGTATAATCTTTCAATAGGGTCTATTGGCCCAAGTCTCTTTCCTGCTGGAGAGTTAACTCTGGTGTGTATGACAGAAGATATTTTCATGGCAAAGGGTTGTTGTCGTCATAATCTGCGTAACAATAGGACCACCTGGAAATAAAAAGGTTTAAAGTTGTGTTCTGTGGTCTCCTTTCCTCTTGTTAAGCTTTCGTGCAGCCAGGAAGAGAGCAATGATGTTGCCCCTCAGCCTCCTTTTCTCCAAACCAGAGAAGCCTGAAATCCATAGCTGCTACTCATAGGATGTTCCAGCCCTTTCACTAGCTTTGTTACCCTCCTCTGGACACATTCAAGGACCTTCTCATCCCTGCTTGTCAGTTAACCCATATACTCATCCCCAAAGGCTGTGTCAATCAGCACAGCACAACCATAATTTCTGCTTTGAATCAGACATTGGGTGTGGCTGGTTTTAAATGCTCAGATTAGGAAGAAGGATCAAAAATCCAAAGTTTGTGTCTGTTCTCATTCTGCTGTGTATTTGTCCTCCTTTCTTCCTTTTATCACTTAACACATTCATGCACACTTCGAGAGGTTTTGTTTGCATTTTTATTGCTTATGGTCACAGTTCAAGAATTAGCAATCTTACAGTTTACTCATTTTACAGCATCAGCTCTTTTCCTCAAGGCCTTGTGCTAGGCTGCAAGAGACACATAAAACAGGCATGCCAACAATAGATAGAAGACAATACTTAATAGCAGCAATAAAAAAGCAGAAATCAAAGCCTGCCACTTGCTTAATCAGGACGGTATGGAGTAATCTCTTGCATCTTTCATTAGTAAACAATCTGTTACAGAGATACAGGAATTTTCTATGTTTTATTTTTACATCAGGCCTAATCCTATACCAGGTCCTCTGTTCTTCTGTCAGCACATCTCTGTGCATACAACAGTAAATTAGGAAGAGAGGAGGGCTTTAAACATAACATCATGGAGAAAGAACTGGCACTAAGCACTATGATGAATCAAGTCAGATGGCAAATTAGATAGGTAAAGACATCAGGCAATAAGTTAGTCTAAGCAATTACTGTCAAAAACAGAATTGCTAATCTACTGATTGAAATTAATATATTTATTTAATTGTTCAGATTTGATCAATCACTAACAACATCTTTCTTATACAACTGTGGACATCTAAGAAGCAATCAGCATAGAAAAAACAAACCAACCAACTAACTAACCCCACATTGCTCCACACAGGTCAAGCAACCACATGAGATTTTTACACCTGAGAGTCTGGGCCAGAAATATTCAGTAAGAACTTCAGACAGCCACAGAATTAATATATATTGAAGATCATGCTTTCATTCTCTAGCTCAGGAGGTTACATTTTTACACATTTTTGCCCAGATCACTGAAAACAAATATCATCCCAACTACCTAAAGGTTCCATTATTTCTACAGAAGGATAACTGAAGCTAAATTTGCAAGCTTGATATTTAGTTTTGTTTTTATTGACACCTTCCACCTTCTACCAGGACAGCACACCTTCTTCTAAGCTTGCATGGATCACTAACATCTGAAATCCAACACTGGATGTATCAAACAACTGAAATATGGTTGAATTGGTTTGCTTTCACTCAAGACTCAATCAACTCTTACATGAAAACCATGTTTTCATTTATTTTGCAAAGTGAGAAGATTCATTGCATACATGTACACACCTTTGGCTGAATTCTATTCTTGGAAGAATTTTTGTCTAGTTCATCGACTGCATTGTTATTCTAGGATGAAGATTTGTTGCACCAGTTATCAAATGCATGTTATTCCCAGATGAGATAAAACCACTTTCCATTATGTAGTTCACTCCAAAGAGGGGAGAGAAGGAAAAATATAACTCTAACTGGTACATAACTTCAGATGACATTTCATGCTCTATGTGAACAAACAGAATAATTGTTTATCCCAACCAGGTAAACAAGAAAACAGAAGTGGAATTTATAACAGGAAAAAAAACTAATTCACATCACAGGTTCCAAGGCACACTAGTGTAAGGAATACACCAAGTGCAAAGCAACAGCCGTGCCTTTTTGGAAAGCTCACATGCCAAAGCAAGTATAGCACACATGAAGACTTACCTGCTTATACTTCTGCTAAAAGACAATACAAATAATCATGCTAAGTATATCTAATATTGATGTAGAAGACATGCATATCAGGCAAATATGGTGTTGATATCTTATTGCTTGCATTAGAAATGGCAGCTGAAAACCAAGATCCTTAAATACATCATGTTCTGTGCTTCTCCAATGAGGTTCACAAACTGGGTAATGAGGCAATACCATTCTACTCAAGAATCAGGACAGTTCTTACACTCTCAGTGGAATTACACACACAAAGTAAGATTATCAGTGATAAAGACTGGCATGCTTGACTTTAGAAGCATAAAACTAGATGAAATGTTTTTGTTTTGTTTTTACATAGCATCTTTTAACTTGATATTACACCCATAACTTTTGACCTTGTGTTTTCTGTACATATGAAGTCACTACAAATATTCAGAAGCTAAAATGTATACATCCATTATACATAGTGGGTCTTAGAATTCAATGACCATTAATTTAGCAATATTTAGTTGCAAGATCATTTTGTTTATGTACACCTGACATCCACATCAAAAGGAATTAATGAACTGATAGTATATTACTTTAATCTGTCCAGCACATTCAAATACTTCCCCATATTTTAAATGTTTTTTTTCATTTATATACTTGTTTAGCTCTCTACTGTTCCATTTCTGCTTTCCACAGAAGAGAAAAATGCATTTCAAATTATGATATGAGCTAGAAATGCAGGTACCACTTGCAAGGTGCACTCTATAGAATGTCATAAAGTAACAACATTTTTCATGCAGTAAACAGTAAAAATGAGTTTAGAACTGTTTCTTTCCAAATACCAAATCCTGAGATTGCACCATGTTGGTTTAAAAAAAAACCCAGAACAACCCACACACAAAACAAAAAACAAACAAAAAAAACCCAAAAACAAAACCAAAAACACCACAAAACAATTTGAATGAAACAATTTTAAATTGTTCTATCCCCTAATACAGATTTTCTGTCCTAGTCAGTCTAGACACCTTCAGCATATCTCCTTAATAATTTTTCTTCCCTGTTCTTGGAACTTAATTTCTTTACAAATCTACCTTCTTAATCAAAATATTACACATGATGTAGCCTTTCTGTTTTCAGGCTGTATCTATAAACTACTATTTTATTTATGTTTCCAAACAATTCATACATTATTCATATCAGGAGGACTTTAGAGCTTAAATGGATTCAGAATTCTACCAAGTATAACCTACCTGTAAAACTCAATCTCAGAAACCCCATCAGCTGCCTTAAAGAGTAAAATAAACCCACTGAGACTGAAAGCCACCCTTCACAGAGCAATGCTTCCCTTTCCAAGTGCCAGCTACTTCCATTAGACTCAAAGCCAAAGCTGGATTTTGTAGAAATGTTCACATATAGTTAAATAAGATCAAACTCATAATCACTTCAAGTGCAGCCAAAGAACGTTTCCATCCAGTGACAAGTCTCCCTCACCATTAACGAGCATTTATATTATCAATTAAAGAGTTGTTGTCCCACTTACTGTGCCATGTCAGATACAGCTGGCAGAGGTGACTCTTCTGATATAAGGTCAGTGTCATCAGTGAAGCTGTTGGCCCGTGACATTTCTTGGGTATTCCCTTCTAAATGTCTTTTCACTGCACAAATGATTCAAACAAATCAAATGCATTAGGGA